ACCGCCCTCTCCGACTCAGCAATTTTCCCATGGCCTAGTTCTTTATGTCCCACTTCATATAGCCTCTTCCTCAATGTCAGCGTTATTACGCTGTCGCGCTAACATTCTGTTTACGAAGCTATTGCCTGTTACACTTCTTTGCAAACCCAAGCTTCCTGGTGCATTACATTGTTTCTCTTTCTTAATCTAAAAGTCTGGATACCATTATTCCAAATTACCCCAAAAAACATATCTACTTCTATATGACCCTTGGGGCATAACATAAGGTATTCCCTATCCTTCCGAACGCGGGCTATATGTACAAGAGAGTGTAGCTCCGGCGACTCTTCAGTATCACGAGTGTCTCGAGTATCACGAGGTCACAAGTATCACAAGAGATTCCGAGTGAAAACACAGCAGAGATCCTGAGTTTGCACTCAGAGTTTTGGATTCAGCTCTGGCAGCATTTCCCCGGTGATAGACAACAGAAGGCTCGTTGTATAGCATTCGCCGAGGTATAAATAGTCCAGCTTTATTTTTTATTGTTTTTCATTTCGTTTTCTTAACTGTTCTCCTTATTTTTCAGTGCAGTTGGCGGTGGGATTGAGCTGTGTCGATTGATCTGCTTTTGAATTGAAATATTTCGTTAGGATTTTTTTGTTTCTTTGTTTTCCAGTTCGTGTTCTTTCCTTTCTTGAGGGTCGATCAATAAGTACCTGTGTTAGGAATAAAGACACAAGTTTTTCACTTTTTTTTTATTTTTCAACGTAATCTCCTTTCAGGTCGATACACTTTTCCCAACGTTTCTGCCATTTCTTTAACCCCTCCAAAAAATACGATTTGTCAAACTCTTCAAAATACGCTTCTGTCTCGGCGATAACCTCCTCGTTTGAGCTGAATTTTTTTCCCCCGAGCCATGTTTTCATGTTGGGGAACAGAAAAAAGTCACAGGGAGCCAGGTCAGGCGAGTACGGTGGGTGTGGCAGCAATTCATAGTGCAGTTCATGCAATTTGGCTACGACAATTCCAGATGAATGTGCTGGTGCGTTATCGTGGTGAAACAGCACCTTTTTCTTAGCCAAATGGGGCCGTGTCTCCTTCAATTTCTTATCGAATCGGTCCAATAATTCACTGTAGTACTGCCCCGTGATCGTTCTTCCTTTCTGCAAAAAGTCCATGAGGATTATTCCCTTCGAATCCCAAAAAATCGTGGCCATGACCTTTCCGGCCGATGGGACCGTCTTTGCCTTCTTCGGAGCAGATTCACCCGGAAAAATCCATTGTTTTGACTGTCGCTTGGTCTCTGGCGTATAATAATGTATCCAGGTTTCATCAACGGTGACGACTCGACGCAAAAACTCCTGCGAATTTCGCTTAAAGAGGTCCAAACACTGCTTCGACATTGACAGCCGTATCCGCTTGTTGTCCACCGTGAGCAACCGCGGCACCCATCGGGCTGACACCTTTCTCATACTTAAGTTATCATGTAAAATATTGAGTGCCGTTCCGTACGACACACCTATGGCCTCTGCTACTTCGCGCACTTTAGTTCGGCGATCAGCGAGAATCATGTCATGGACCTTTTCAACGATTTCCTCGGTAACGACGTCTGCCGGGCGGCCCGGCCGCTCCTCGTCAAAAACAGATGTACGACCACGTTTAAATTCGTTGAACCAATATCTCACGGTTGTCATAGATGGTGAAGGGTCCCCATAGACGGCATCCAACTTCGCTTTTATTTCTTCGCATGTTTTTCCATCCAAAAATAAAAAGCGAATTACGGATCGATATTGCACTTTCTCCATTGTATCAAGAAAGACAAAACACGTCTGATGCAACTGGCTGCCAAATAAAAACTAACCTATGAATCAGTCTGAAATTTAGTATGGGGTCGTTTGACAGATGGCAGTACACGACGGTAAAGCCAACTTCCCTCAGCAACGCCACCTGTCTTCAAACATCCAAATAATGCCTCGCGGAAGATCAAACTTAGGTCGCCGTACTGGCGGAGCGGAAGCAAGGCATTGAGTAATTGCAAATCGAAGTGAATCACAAGAATCACAAGAGATTCCGAGTGAAATCACGGCAGAGATCCTGAGCTTGCTCTCAGAGTTTTGGATTCGACTCTGGCAGCGTTTCCCCGGTGATATAAAACAGAGGCTGTGTCGATTTCGTTAGACTGAGCCACAGCAACGCGTGGCCGGGTACAGCTAGTATTCATAATAAATTCTGCCAAGCTATAAGAACATAGTTCAGTATTCATTGACTAGAGCCCAGGCCTGTTGTTTTAACGACAGTAGCTAGAATCGTAAATGTGACCCCATGCGATTTTCTGGGGTTCATCTCCTCCCCGGTGCTTCTGTGTATTTAAAGGACTTCTGGCTCAGATCGGTTAAAGGGTTTTGTATCTATAATCACAAAATCTCAATGGGATGAAATTACGGGTGGAGGATTATATGGGGATTCATGATGGCTTGCAATAACCGCAAAGACAATTTCATTTAAATCTTTGACATAAAATCTGTTGCCTGTCCACCTAGCTTGAAGGACCCGGCATTACCCAGTTTCTGCCTTCTCTTTGTAAGAAATATGCTGTAAGGACGTTTGTCCAACTTTTGGGTACTCATTAAAATTTTGATGACCCTCAACTTTGAACTCTTATAAAATTCTTGATGACCAATTAGGTAAAATTTGGACACACCTTGACACGACACATGCAGAGGTTCTAATTGTTACAGTAACACAAGGGCCATGACGCAGGAATCTCTATTATTGATAAAATTTGTATATTTAGGTACTTACCTCATCTACCTTCTGTGCATTGGCATTGACTTGTTGCTCAAATTTTTCGAGATACTAGAGGGCGTAAAATACCAAGGAAGTAGGCTGATACAATTCATCCGTACTGCTTCCCGATCTCTCAGATGTCAGAACTTCTTTAATTTCTTCCTGTAGTTACAGCGAAGCGTGTTGATTTTTCGTCTCACATCAGCACGACTAGCCCCTGGTTTTATTTTACTGTATATATTCAGCAGTTTGTCCAAGGCTATATTTCCTTTTGTCTTATTTTAGTGGGGTTCCACAGTTCCGATAGGGCTTCATATGTCTCTATGAAGTTTCGAAGAACTTCGCCCTCTTCTGCATTCACCTCACTTGTAGGGGACTCAGTGACGGAGAACTCACTTTCGCTGTCCATGTCTGGTTACTGCCACTCTGGCTCCACAAAACAAACTGAGTAATGAAGGAGTAATGACGCGCGCACTCTACAGGGTCATTACTAGGGCCCGGATTTTTTGAAAATGCATATGAACATATGCAAATGCATATTTTGAGGGTTTTTGGTCGTTATTGCATATTCTAAACGTAAGACCATATTTCTGCATATATGTTTTCAATTAAGGATAATTTAAATATTCTCTAACAAAATCGGGGTTTCCTGTGTTTTGGACATCACTTGCTAGTTGCTATTTTCAACTCTCTGAGTAACGGCACTTTTAGCACTTACTATACAAGCAGGTAGCTTGGCTATTTCGAAAGGGAGGGGGTGGGATTTTCCTGCATTCCATTGACCACCACAGCAGACAGTAGCATCAGAGGGTTGGTCTCGAGAGAAGTCTCTTCAGTTAACATGTTATTCTTTTCTTTAATATTCTGCATTATAAAAGTGTTCGTGTACTGAAAATGCCTAAAGAAAAGTGCAGCAGTAGATATTTAAAAATTCGGTGGGTGTCGGGTAATAGTGACTATTCAGCAGACGGTGTCGTCGTGTACTGTCAAGTTTGCGCAAAGGAAGTAAAATGTAAAAAGAAATTTCAACTTGAACAACACTCAAGAACGACTGCACATATTACGGCAAAGAAGGGGAAGAAGAACAGCACACCACAACAACTACTTCTTACACAGGTCCAACCTAAGTCCTCTCTTAATACATTTTCAGCCGATCTTTGTAAGGCTTTAGTATGCAGCAACATTCCATGGAATAAATTAAGCAATCCAGTTGTGCGATCATTTCTGGAAAAATATTGTGTACTTTCTGTCATCGGAGGGAAATGTGTCTGGATATCGATGGATGAGGCAACCGATTTATGTGGCCGATTCATAGCAAATTTCGTAGTTGGTAAGTTACATCCAGACGAACCCGACAAACCTCATATTCTTGCTCGTAAGTACTAGAGAAAACCAACCACAGCACAGTAACAAGACTTGTATATGAGTCTCTGCGACTACTATGGCTATTTAAAATTGAAAATAATTGTTGTAAAGTGCCTGTGTTATTCACAGAGGGAGCTTTCTATACGTTGAAAGCAGCAAAGGCGTTGCAAGTATTTCATCCAAATTTTATACACGTAACCTGCTTAGCGCACGGATTACATCGTATTGCAGAAAAAAATATGAGCACAGTTTCCAGCTTTTAACGATTTAATTGCAAGTGAGGAAAAACTGTTTCCGAAAGCACCAGCTCGTGTCCAGTTCTACAAAGATTTCCTACCTCAGGTTCCTCTGCCACCCGAACCTGTCCTAACTGGGGGGGGGGGGTTATCCGGAGTTTCATTTTATCAGGAGAATTTAAATCAGTAAAAGAAGTGGTTGCAAAACTTTAAGATGAGTATGCATGTGTCCTTGAAGCAAAAGTGGTGTTTGGATGTGATACTGTTTATCAAGATGTGAATTTCAAAAGCCATTTAGAGCTTAGAATCTTGCGGTGCACTCCATCACGACTCACTTGAACTCGTTCAGAAAGCAACTTGTTCACCGAATTCCGCTCCAGGCGAAATTGGAGAGACGATTAAATGCAAGTTAGAAATTGTGTTGAAATCGAAACCAGGACTAAAAAAATTCAGTCAGTTAGTCAGTACTTGAGTGGAATTAGTGTATCTTTGCCAACTGAATATTCCGAACCTTCGGCGCCAGTGTATAAATACTGTCCAATACGTCAGTTGATGTAGAAAGATCATTCTCAGCCTATGAACTCATTTTTACGAACAAGAGACGTAGTTTGTCTCCAGAAAACATTGAAAGACTTCTAGCTGCCTATTGTGATGCTACTTTCTGTAGTGAATGATACATGTAAATAGGTGAGTCTGAATTAAGTGATCTGTTTCTTAAGTGCATATTGTTTTATCTTTGTCGCATATTTTCCCGCTTTTTAATGTTAGGTTAGCTGTATGGACTAGGAAATCTACTCACTCTTTTTAGGTGCTGCAAAAACTGCAGGCTCGAAATTCTCTCTTGTTCTTCTGTCACGGACACGTGTTACAGGGCACCCCTGTAGCTTGGGTGTCTTACTGGGTGTAGTCAGTTCCTTCTGCTTCTGCAGGGGTCTACCGACCACCACGTGTTCCTCATGGATTTTAGGAACTCTTTGTGTTCTAACAGGGACACGTGTTGCATGGCACCCCTGTAGCTTGGGTGTCTTACTGGGTGTAGTCAGTTCCTTCTGCTTCTGCAGGGGTCTACGACCACCACGTGTTCCTCATGGATTTTAGGAACTGTTTGTGTTCTAACACGGACACGTGTTGCAGGGAATCCCTGTAGCTTGGGTGTCTTACTGGGTGTACTCAGTTCCTTCTGCTTCTGCAGGGGTCTACACACCATCATCTGTTCCTCATGGATTTTAGGAACTCTTTGTGTTCTAAGAGGGACACGTGTTGCAGGGCACCCCAGTAATATCCAGTAACTTTGGTGTCGTACTGCGGGTGGTCAGTTACTTCTGCTTCTGCAGGGGTATATCGACTACCACCTGTTCCTAATGGATTGTAGGAACTGTTTGTGTTTCAACAGAGATAACTGTTGCAGGGCTCTCCTGTAACTTTGGTGTCGTACTGCAGGTGGTCAGTTACTTGTGCTTCTCCAGGGTCTATCGACCACCACCTGTTCTTCATTGATTGTAGAAACTGTTTGTGTTTTAACAGGGATACGTTTTGCAGGGCACCCCTGTAACCTTGGAGTCGTACTGCGGATGGTCGGTTCCTTGTGCTTCTCCAGGGATCTATCGACCACCACCTGTTCCTCATGGATTGTAGAATTATATGTCTGAATATACAACTAGAACAACGACGAATACAGCAATAATAATAATAATAATAATAATAATAATGATAGTAATAATAAATAATAAGTGCAACAATAAACTGGTTTTTCAAAGTGATTAAGGTGTATCTGTTGACAACAGAAATGGGAACCAAACGTTATATGTGACACTTTATTAGTATGAGATTGTTGTTATATTGCCTTGTCCTGTATAGGCTATGCAATATAAAAACTTGGTTGTGACAGAAACACTGCTGCTAACCTCTGTGAATAAAAGTTAACCACACTGAAGAATTAAGTTCATATAAATGGTATTTAAAATTCGACATTTATCTCAGAGAAGACACACTCTTTCTCCATGACAAAACTAAACTAGATAGACTTGAAAGGATTCTGACGATGGTGTATACTGTATTTCTTTTTTTCTTCTTTCGGACTTCTTCCATCGTCTGGTATGTAAAAGAAAAAGATCACAACGTTCCGGAAACTGGATCTGTCTCCGTCCTCAGTTCGTCTTAATTACTCATCTTGAACATTTTTATGAATAACATGAGGAGAAATAAGGAAATATAAAAGAAATAAAATAAAATTCAAATAGATCAGGGTTAATAAATAAAAGAAGAAATTCTGCGAAGAACCGATCACCTACTTTCTTTTCACTATAACTACAGTTCAGATGGAACAAATAAAGAGTAACTGGATCTGTCTCCGTCCTCAGTTCGTCTTAATTACTCATCTTGAACATTTTTATGAATAACATGAGGAGAAATAAGGAAATATAAAAGAAATAAAATAAAATTCAAATAGATCAGGGTTAATAAATAAAAGAAGAAATTCTGCGAAGAACCGATCACCTACTTTCTTTTCACTATAACTACAGTTCAGATGGAACAAATAAAGAGTAACTGGATCTGTCTCCGTCC